ATTTCACAATTAAAAATTATCTCCTTCTGGCATTTAATACATAGAAATTATTTTGATACTTCTTAATGACTTAATTGTGAAGTCTTGCTTAATGTCAGTGAGAAAAATAATGTTCTTTATCTTTTTACAGTGTTGAAATGTGCTGAAAAGTGTTTTCCATCCAAAACAAACAAAAGTTTGAACAGAGTGAATTAGGTTTGTATGTAACAAGCAGATACTGTACGAATATGGTATCAGATTGTTTTTCCTGGTAGCAAGTTTCTCTCCTCCTAAATGATGCAGTGGACTGCTTCTCATTATTTAAACAGCCATTTAATGTTAAATGATTCAGCAGGGTCAGGCTGTGATAGAGTGATTCCGGAAGCATTAGACAATTTTATCCAATGTTCTGAGTCACCACAAAATCTAACTTTAAACTCTTTGGGAATATTTGGCATGAAAGCGAGGAAATTACGTAGCAGTTTGAGCATAAACGGGGTTTAGGGAAATATGCTGCTCATAAAGGAGATTAATGTTTAGTCATCAAAGGTAAAGGAGGCCCAAAGTGAGATGATTTTTTCTTAAATTATCTAACATTAACTGCTGGGGTTATTATGATCCCAATGCTGCCATTTAGCCACATCATGTCGGGACCTGCAGCACAGGCAAGGCCATGAGAAGATCCCAATCAGAAGCAAGTAGGACGACTGCATGCAGTGGCGCCTTAGACAATATTTTAGATGATTAAAGCAGAATGCTACATTTAATCATTTACAAGCATTAAAATATACTTAGAAACATCAGAGAGAAAAAAAGGAAACTGACAACAAATCCTTATTAAAGGTTATTCTAAAGGTTTTGCTTAAGATTGGCCATCTACTGCATTACTCATGCTCTTGGGGTCAGACGCATTAGTCAAATTTGACTATTATCTCTCAAACGATGCTCCTCTGCCTTCTTTTTTACTAAAACCAGCTGATCAGCCCTTGTGACGCCACCAAACCAAATTTTCACATTAGATTTACCTTTGTTAGAGCTACGAAAGCCAAATCAGCCTTTTTGTTTGCTTGTTTTTTGCTTTTTCATTGTTGTCAGGGAAAAGTTTCTGCAATAAAAAAAATATTTCAGGAACCAATTGTGTTTTTTTGGCAGTGTGTGTCAAATAAACAACACCAGTATATAACATCCTTTATTTATACTTGAAAAAAAGTGTACTTGTTCAATGTTATTAGTTTTATATGAAACAACAGTGACCTGCCAAATCATTCATACTCCTTTACGTTTCGTACGTTTTGTCAAATACGAATCATTGATAAATTTCCTCAAAATTTTGTGACGTTGAATGTGAAGTTGGTGTATAAAATGAATTTGTTAGGCTGTAAATGCCCACCCTTCTTATTTCTGCCGTCCCTAGTGTGTTGAGAAAAATGCTACCCCAGGTTTTTGACAACATTTAAAGGTTCCAGAGATGGGTGTAATGTGGTTGTGCAGTGGTTGGTGTGCATGATCCATATATGAAGGCTTTGGACCTTGATGGGGCCGACACAGGTTCGATTTCAGCTACTTGTCTCCCTCCTCTCTTATACCTTCTTTCCTGTCAGCCCACTTAACAATAAACAAGCAACTAGTGCCATAAACACCTCAAAATAAAGGTTCCAGATATGCCATTATTGCAGAGAATGTGGACTGTTTTAGAATGGAGCTGATTATAAGATTACAAAACATATAACTCTGTATATTAAATTAATACTTGTAAATAGTGGTAACTATTTTTTATCAATTTCAGATAAAGTTTTTCAAATGTATGGATGTGTTGTGAGTAATGAGCAAGCAAAATCAAATCATTGTAAACAGCACTTGAGATGTGATTTCTGCTACTGAATAACTTTACATACCTTTGTATCATCAAGTTATGCCATATTCGGCGATATGAAAATACTCTTTTTACCACATTCTACCTCTGTCATCTTGTGTTTTGACGTAGACAGACTTTATTGTCATTTTATAAACACAGAGTATGTACAAAAATACATTTTGTTCAGTACAGCTCTCATGACATTTCCATTTTTAAAGCGCAGCAGTGATCAAATGTAAACATCAGACTGGTATATGATTTACAGATTCCAACATTCAGCACTTTTTTTTTTTTTACTCCATTTTATACAACATTCAGCAATGTAATGGTGGTGGGGAAGTTCTGGAATCTGCTGGACCTGCATTGGATGCTGCAAAGCCTCTTTCTAGAGGGCAGCAGGGAGAACAGTCTATGATGGGGGTGTGATATAATGTCACAGGCTCAGGATACACAGCGCTGGGATGAAATGTCTTTAATGGAGGGAAGAGGAGCCCCAATGATCCTCTCTGCTCTCCTCATATTCTTCCAGTCTGAGACGCTGCAGCCTCCACAGCACACAGTGAGACAGCTGGTCAGAACGCTCTCTATGGTGCTTCTGTAGAAGGTGGTGAGGATGGGTTGTAATCCAACTATTAAAAAACTGTTAGCGTTCCCCTGCTAGGTAAAGAGTTCACGTGTGTATAAGAGTATTAGTTTGTTTCAGTATTGTGTGAAGACAGCTTTGTGAAGTCCGAGCAAGACTCAGAAAGGATGTTGAGAATTTAAAATCCGGGCAAGGTTATGATCAATTTGCAACACTTTAAACATCAAACACATCATCAAACACATCAGTCCATCGCCTGAAGATCTTAGTGCAAATTTAATAAGACATGCTCACCTGTCTACACAAACCAGCCGCCCAAAGAGAGCAATAATCAACAAAGAAGAACTCCATGGGAATTCCATAGTTCAAGGCAGAAAATACGATTAATAATGAACTCCCCTAATTTAGCTTTATGGAGCAGGGGCAAGAAGATAACGAGGGCTGAAAACCATGTAATGGATAAGTGATTTATCTGGGAAGGCCTGTTTTTTATGTCTGAAGACTTGCCCAAAAGATCACCCTTGAGCAGAACATATAATCAGAATTGAAATGGAATCATTTGGATAAAACTATAATTATGCATTAGAATAGCCATGTGGGTCTTATAGAATGTATAGCCATACATTCTATAAGACCCACAAGACAAACTAAGATAAAGTTTGAACTGTATGTGCAGAATGCTATTTGCAGAACGCCAACTCTAGACATAATTTTGGAATCATGTTGGTGGCGCCATCCTACTGGAGGGAATGCTTTTCTCTGCAGGTGCAAGGAATTGGGGAAACAGTTAAAGACATCAAAGGATGAAAGCAATCCAAAGATATCCTGGGGGGGAAAATCACACAAACAAACAAAAAAATAAAAACTGGGGTTAATATTAAAATAATGGTGATTAGACGTAAAACTAAAAAATAATGTTGAATCTATGGTGTGTTAGCAACCCCCGTTTCCACTTTGATGATGAATTTCTTTTTGACATTGAACAAAGGTTTTTTTATTAGGCTGACATGATTTCAACATTTAAACATTTCATGTCAGTCTTATGCTCTGATAGGCTGCAAAAATGTTGAGTCTAAGGCAGAGATTAGAATAGAATAGAAAATCCCATTATTGTCCCACAATGGGAAAATACTGGTGTTTACAGCAGCACAAAGATTATAGAAAAATAGTCAAACAAATATAATAGTGAAGGGGTTAAAAGATAATAAAATACTGTAATGTAAAGTGTTTTAACACTATAATAACTGTGCACCTGGAGGATATATAACCAATATACAGCTATGGACATTCTTACAGTAATAGATAAATGAAAATAGCAGCAACTTCAGAGATGTGCAAAATGACAGCAGCATATTATTTAACCTGCTAAGATAGAAATTGTGCAAAATCAGCATGAATGTAACAACTTATTGAGATTGTTGGGAACAGTAATGGTTATAAAGTCTTCCAGCTACTGGGAGGAAGGATCTGTGATAACGCTCCTTGGTGCATTTAGTGTGCAGCAGTCTGTTACTGAAGGAGCTCTCCAGTTCAGCACCAGCTTCATGCATGGGGCGTGAGGCATTGTCCAACAGAGATGTTCATTTAGTTAGGATCATTTTGTTTCTCACCTCCTGCACTGAGTCTAGAGGACTTCCAGTCACAGAGTTGGCCTTCCTGATCAGCTTATTCAGCTACAGATAAGCCAATGTTCACACAGACAGTTCAATAAAAGATGGCTGATGCCACAACAGTCATAGAAGGTCTTTAGGAGCGCCCCCTGAACCAAAAGGCTTCACCCTATCTTTAACCTAACAGGTAAAGCAAACATACAAACACACTCCACACTTTTAAGATTTATGTTTTCATACAGCTTTAAAAAAAAATTGATGTTTCCTCATCTTCAAAGTTAAAGACGGCTTTACTCTATTCCATCATATAAAGGAAAAGAAAAAAAAATTTGAAAAAAAAAAGAGTTAAAGGGATGTGAAAACTTTTGCGAGATACAATATATATATTTAGACAGGTATACAGGGGGAGAAATATACAAGGATGTAATCTGTACCATCTTCAACTATGTGCAGTGCTTCATTGAAGCCACGTGTTCAGTGGAAATAAGGTAAGTGGCGCCATTATGTGGTGCAATGCTAAATTACAGACTGAGAGATTATTTAGATAAAGAAAATGACACATTATTCCTCAATAATAAAGGCGTAAGAACATAAATGAGAATTAAAATCCTAAAAAGCACAAAGCTGACCGGGGAGGGTTTTTATTAGTATTATTTTTAACAGGTTTAAATTGGTTAAAATGGCCAAAATAATTGCTGAAATACCTTTGCCAGAACATATCTATTTTAAAAACAGGAGCAATTTTTCTTTTTTAATTTGAAAACGAATTTCTTTTTATAGCCTTGATTCGTCTATTTGTTGCCCAGTCTCATCCAGACTTTAAAGCTAAACAAAGCACAATAGGCGCAATTAATGGCAGCCTTGATTAAACAGGCTTCCAGGGCGCAGCGTCGGAGCGCAGTTACCCAGAACCGCTCTGGGTTCATGCATCACGTTTCCTGGACGGAGTTCCTGAGGGAGGAGAAGGGAAGAGAGGCAGGCATGGGAAAGTTCTCCCCACTTTTTCCGATCACAGCGGATCTTTATAAGTAAAGCAAACACGTTCAAACTGGGTGATACTGATACAGCTGAGGGAGATCTGTGTGGAGGAATCACCCGCTTTAAGTAAGAGAAAGGTAAGAAGGTTCACCTGGATAAGAAATTAAAAAATGAATGGAAATATGAGAATTTTATTATTTATGGACCTCAGGTTCTGAATTAGTTGGGGTTAATTTCTGGGGTTTTATTGAAAATAATCCTCCATGTCTTTAATAACAAAGTTTGTTAAGTTTGGCAATTTTTATTTCGACAATCATGAGGAATTTCAAAGTTCTAATTGAACTTATTTTAAAGTAACGGTGTTAAGTGTTTATGCCTTATTTCAGTTTTTATCTCTTTTCTTTTTTTTTGTTCAACACGGTTCTTACACTAGAAAACCGATCTAGAAATAAGTACAAATTTATTAAATTAAGTGCATTTACCCCTAATTTGATTAGGTAAATCAGATAGTTTGCCAATGGAATAAGTATTTTTACTCTTGAAATAAGATAATTAGATAATATGCACTTGAAACGAGACAATCCAATTGTGTTTTCTATTTTAGTGTAAATTGTCTTGTTCCATTGGAAAGATGTATCTTTTACCTCATCAATCCAAGAACAAATGCACTTATTTTAAGAAACAATTACTTATCTAGATTTAACTTTTTTCCCAGTGTAGCTGTTATGTGACCTTTTGTAATAGTAAAAATGAGCAAGAATTTATTTTTCAGTAAAAATGTTGGCTGTTTGAGGCTAGTTAATTATAATAAAGTACAAACGTTTTTATAAAGTTGTGCTTTTAAAGCTGCAGTGCTATTATGTTTTAAAGTTCTTCTTATAAGAAGCCAAAAATAAAAACAACCCAAAGAAGACTTAGACTTATACTTAGACAACTTTTATATTCATTTTATATACACAGTGTATACAAAACGACATTTCGTTTTGTACAGCTTTCAGACAGTGAATGAGCAGCAGCTTAGCAGTGAAATGAACATTTCAACAACTTTCAACAATTTTCACTGGAGTGATCTGCTATAAATTAGTGCAAAGTGAAGAAACGGCTAAACTTTTTTTTTCTTCTCTTTCCAAATGTGTACAGTTACTAAGAAAGTTAGTAGAATGCTTATTTCTTTTTCTTCCTTGTTCTAAAGTCCTATTATCTGTGGAAAATGATTAAAATGACAAGAAACCATATATATATATATATATATATATATA